CCTCCCTCCGCTCCCGGTTTGACTCCAGGCCTCCCCATGGTGGGGGGGGGAATACCGGGGCGTGTGTGTGTGTGTGCGCCTGTGGAACTGGGGCAGGTGAACGTGGAGAGCCTTCTTGAAAATTAATAAAGTGCGGGTTTGTTCTCCCCCCCCAACACGAACAAAGTAATCATGATGGAAAATAAACAGCAGCGCCTCCCAGAGCCGGCCTATCCCCGCGGCCGGCGCAAGAGAAACCTCCCTCCCCTCCCGACCCCGGCGGGAGGGTGGGGCGCGGGGATTGAACGGGACACGGCCGGCGCTGGTGCCCCTACGCTGGGCCGGGGCAGGGAGGTGTTTGTGAGGGCGGCGGCCAGGGTCCAGCCGCCGCTCCACCATGCGGGGTTTGGGTCTGTCCTCCGAGACACCCCCCCAGCGGCTGCAGCAACAACCGCGTTGTTGGCTTTATTCGACATTTTGTTGTTTTCGCTCCTTCCTTCACCTGAGGCCGCACCCGCCACAATCGCACCACCCCGGGGGAGCGGCACTGCCCACCCGGCGCCTCCTCCCGCTGGCGGTGGCCGGGGTACGCGCGCAGCCGGGAAGGGGGGAAAGCGCCCTGCACACCCCCGCCACCGCCCCTCGCGGGTGGGGGTGTGTGTTAACGGGGGGGGGGGGGGAACAATACACTCAGACCCGCCCCGGGGCGGCTGAGGGGTGCGGAGAGGCCGGGGCTCCTCTTCCCGTCCCCCAGAGGAAGCGGCCCGCACTAGGGGTGAGGGGGGGAGGAGGATTTAAGATGGCGCGGGGCGGGGCCGGGCCTCAAGCCTGCGCGGCGGGACGCGGCGTTTGAATTCTACTCCCCCGCCCTTCCTCCTCTCTCCTTGTAGCTCTTCCTCTTCGGCGCTCCTGAAGGCAACCTTGCCCCGCCGCTTCCCTCCGCGCTACGCCGTTCCCCGCGCCTGGCCGGGACGGGAAAAGAAAACACGAGAGGGTGGGGGGCGGCGAAGAGAATGGAGAAACGGTCGAACTCTGCGCAGTGAACGGCTCGTGTGGGGTGTTGTCCCGGTCCCGCCCCGCCCCGGCGCTGATGATGGGGCCGCCCTGACTGATGCAATAGGCGCGGGAACCTCCTCCTTGCTTCCCTCCTGCTCTCTCCTTTCTCCCTCCCTCCCTCGGCACCCTTCCCGCCGCCGGTCACGCGTACGCGCAAGATGTGCGCACGCCTGGACGCTTGAGCCTTGCCGCGGCTCAAGTTCCGTGTGTGTTTCTTCTCTCTCCACTCCGCTGCGGGAGCTTGCTTCTCCTCGACGGAGGGGGGCCACGGCCTGCCGCTGCTGCAGGCCCGCGGGGAAGGGTGGGGGGACAGGGACATGGAGGTCGCAGGGCGGGCTGTACGTGCCCACAGCAGAGGGAGGGGATTTGCTTTCCCTGGTGCAGCGATGCGTGTTCCCGCGCCAGGGAAAGCCTTAGCTGGGATGCTTTGGACGTGGATCTGACCGAGTTCCACTCGAGGCATTTGACTGTAAGGGGAAGCACTAACGGGGTGTGTGTGTGTGTCTGTGTGTGTGTCCTCGGGAGTCAGCGCTGACACCCGCTGCCGCTGCGCGTCAGATATGGAGCTGGCCCGGGCTTCCTTAAGTAGGGAAATTAACTGGAAAACGAAGTTTTCCGACATCCATACCCTGCCTCACATCCAAGTAGCTTCAGCTGGAAAAAAAGCCAGCCCTGAAGAAACACCGAGTTTCCTTTGCAGAAGAAAACATTCCACTTTAGAAATGTCAACATGTTTTGTTTCAACATCTCCTGGTGGCATTTTGGTGCTTTCAACTTTCCATTTTAAGGTGGTGGTGATGGTTTTTTTCTTTCTTTCTTTTTTTTTTTTTTTATTTTAAAAGTGATTCCTACTGTCTTCTTCGTAACTTCTATTAAATTTACAAAGAAAAAAAAACTTATTAAGGTTACAGAGAAAATGACTACAGTGTAAACGGCTTGAGCAAAATGTGTCGTTGCAGCAAAATAATTAGATTGTATTGCATGAACTGTTTTGCTCTCTCCCCAGTTAGATCTTTCCTACCTTAATTTTAGTGGAAGAACCTTGAACACTTTCTGTTCTTTTTCAGTATTGATTTTCTTTTCTTTCTCCCACCTCCTATATTTCATTTACTTACTGAGCTGAAAAAAGGGCATTTTTCACACTGGGAGGGATGGTATCATTGTGCTTGTGGTTTGTGCCATGTTTCATCTGCGCTTGGCCACCTCTGCTGTCCAGGAAGTTTGTGTGCCTGTCCTCTCCCTGCCTGCTTTCCATCTTGCCTCACATCAGCCATTGCAAGACTCAAAAATGAGGCACAAAATAGAGGGGAATGTGGTTTTCTGCTGTGTTTGTTTTTTGTCTTTACTTTTTTTAACAGAAGAGTCCTAATACACTTTATTTAAAGGGCAAATGTATCTTTCTATAATACAGAAATTAATAATGATGATATAGTATGTTCATATATAAGGATAACATTGAAGGAGCAACTGCCTAAAAACAAATTAGTATCAGGCGATCCACTTTTAACCTGCTTCTGCCCTAAGAAAACAAGCCCAAACTGACAGCAGCTACAAAAAGCTCCTGAACGGAGGTTACTCATGGTGCTAGGTGAACCCTGACAGAGGAGAGCGGAAGCCCCCACTCCTCTTCCCACTACGTGTTCCCTGCTCTTTGGGTGCGGCAGCACAGCAGCAGCAGCCCAGGTGTGGCGAGAGGCCTGGATATCCTGGGGAGGCAAAAGCAAGAGGGACAGACAATTGTGTCCAAGCAGAATTACAGGCTGGGTGGAGGATGGATTGAGAGCAGACCTGCAGAGAAGGACCTGGGGGTGTGGGTCAATGAGAAACTGAACATGAGCCAGCTTCAGTGTGTGCTTGCAGCCCAGAAGGCCATGTCCTGGGCTGCATCAAAAGGAGTGTGACCAGCAGGTCAAAGGAGGAGATTCTCCCCCTCTGCTCCACTTTTGTGAGACCCCACTTTGAGTATTGTGTGCAGCTTGGGGGACCCAACACAAGAGGGATGAAGACCTGTTGGAACAAGTCCAGAGGAGGGCCACGAGGCTGATCAGGGGACTGAAGCACTTCTGATATGGAGACAGGCTGAGAGAGTTGGGGTTGTGCAGCCTGTAGAAGAGAAGGCTCCAGGGAGACCTTACAGCAGCCTTCCAGTGCCTACAAGAACCCTGGAGAGGGAGTTTTTACAAGGGTATGTAGGGACAGGACAAAGGTAAAAATGGTTTTAAACTGAAAGAAGGGAGTTTTAGGTTAGACATTAAGAACAAATTCTTCCCAGTGAGGCTGATGAGGCGCCGGCCCAGGTTGCCCAGAGAAGCTGTGGCTGCCGCATCCCTGCCAGTGTTCAAGGCCAGGTTGGACGTGGCTTTGAGAAACCTGGTTTAGTGGGACATGTCTCTGCCTGTGGCAGGGGGTTGGAACTGAATGAGCTTTAAGGTCCCTTCCAACGCAAATCATTCTGTGATTCTATGACTCTGAGGTCAGAAGCTGACATGCTGGACACAGGTCTGCCATGATGGACAAGGACCTGTGTGACTCTGCATTATTGGGTTGGTTTCCATCCCCAGACTACCATTGCAGCAGGTAATGTGTGCCCTGGCCTCAGGGTTTAAAGCCTGCAGCTCCCTGCAAAGAAGTAGTAGGCTTGAAGTAATGGATGGGTGCAGAAGACCAGGGCAAAATACAAGTGTCCCACAGCTGGCCTGCTTCCGAAAATGGCTTTCTTTTTGCAGGACACCTTCAGCTTCTCTAGGCCTCATCACAGTCAAGATGTGATCTAACAGAACTTGCCTGCTATTGCAAGGAGCTAACACGTGTTCATGTATGCCTGTCTTCAATTGAGATACACTCGAGTTAAATGCACACAGCTGGTTTGCCCATTTCTTGGCTTTCCCCGTACCCGAGGTACAGCTGTGCACCAGCAGAGTGTGGCCACCCTGTGCATTACTGCACTCTGCCGTCACCGGAGCGGGGTTTGGAGCTACCCATCTGGAAGCCCCTCATTCCGCAGCTGGGCCTGGCTGCATGCATCCTTCTCATCTTAATAAACCTCACTAATACATGATTCTCCACATGCAAAGGGCACAAGTGGTGTGTTTGCTGTTGAGGTGCTGTGAGGGAGTTCTCTGGCTCTGGGTTTTGGAAAAGGGAGTGTTGCAGCTGCAGGTAGCACACGATGTGGTGTGCTGCTGTGATTGGTGACACCCACAGTGTATCACAGTTATGCAGTCCATGGCCCAGCTAAGCCAGGCTATCCCGAGAGGGCAGGCTGTCCTGTCAGAGGGGTGTCCCGCTGCCTCTCAGCATCTTGGCACCTGCCAGCCGGCCCTGGGTGGAAGCACGGAGCAACACACCTTGTGGTTTAGCATTCCCTATCCACAAAGACAGGCTGTGCCAGTTCAGGCTTTTATACCTGGCCGTTCTACTGCGCCTGCAGCTGTTTGGAGGAGCCAGCAGGCAGGAACATAAGTTTCATTCCAATTTTATCCTTGGCCTCACATCTGAGACTTCAAGCGAGGATTCCAGTCGTGGGCAGACGCCCCATTTCGTGTGCTTCAGATGCTACTCCCACAAAAACCAAGCAGCCCTTTACATGGAGGCCAAAAAAACAACCGTTGCCTGATAAAGCCTTTCTGTCATGACTGGCTCTACCCAGATTGAAACCAGGGACCTACAAGTGCAGAAAGGGCTCCCTATTCCCCTTCTACCTGGGCAGGCTGGAAGAGCTTTGCAAGCAGACGGCTGTTTCCCAGGCAGCACAGTCATAACTGTGCTTTTTACTTTCCTTGGGGAGTGAAGCTGGAGGTCTAGGGCTGACCATAGCATCTATTTTTGCTGCCAGATGCGAAGCCTGGAGTTGATGCCATAAGCTTGGGATCTGGGTAGACCACAGGTTTTCTTTGTTTTCTCTTTTCTGGAGCAAAGAGATTAATTGTTCCCAGCCAGGAACATTTAGGACAGGGGATCAGAAAGGAAGGCACATGCTCACGCAGACAACTATAGATTGATATTTATTCCTTTTTATTAGTGGATTAGTGGAACAGAGACCTCTACTGGCCCAGCTTGAAGAGCTGCTGCCATACCTCAGCTGTGCATCTGGCCACTGCCGAGGTTTGCTGCCGGTGGGGTTTCTCACTTGCCTTCACTTCATCTACTTTGGAAGTTTCCTCTTGGGTGACAAGTATTTGCCAAGCAAGCTAGGAATCAACCTTTCACTGTTTTCCCTTCTGTTTAAGAAACCCAGCATGTAGGGAGTCACTCGGTTATGATTACTAGCACGTGAGTTTGGGGCAGTGCTCAATGTAGTAGGTAAAGTAGCTTATTTCCTTTAGGAGTGGATGAACCTGGGGCACTCAAGCATGGCAGAGAATTAGAGGCTTATTGGTTCTGGAGGACAAGGCAGCAGGGTGTTTTAATCCACTCCAGTGATTTCAGTTGCCTTTTACTCTCTTTCTGTTCTTCCTCCCAGCTGGTTGTGTAGTACTGCAGTGAGGATGGCTTCAGAAACCATTTCTCTTGGGTTGGTGCTCTTTAGCATCTTGCCTCTGCTGTCAGGCAGTTGGATAGATGTTGGCTCCTGTCCAGGCCATACCTGGGGTTAGTGGATCAGTGGATGCTCATCTTCCTGGGTTGGGGAAAAGCTAATACATAGGTGTTTTTTTTTTTTCTAGCAAAGATGTCTTTATCTCAGCACATGTAATACAGAAAAGGGATTGGTGTTTACAAACAGGTAGAGCTGGGTGAGCCATGGTTATTCATGGAACATAAGGTGTTCCTGCTCCGGCAGGGGGATTGGACTAGATCTTTTGAGGTCCCTTCCAATCTCTAACATACTGTGATACTGTGATAAGGCCTTTAAGTCCTGAGCTGCCAGTCTGGCTGCAAGCAGCGGAGGCAGTAGTTTCACAGCACCGTCTGTACTGCTGAAACTGTAGCTTAGGCATCCCCTTCCTTCCTTACCCAGCCCACTCGTTCCTGCCTCTGGCATTGCTGGTAAATTTACTGGAGGAACTGCATTGGGGAATGGATCTTGCAGAGATTTCCCACCTTCCCTTCTTTGTTGTTGGTTTCTATGTTGTTTTTCTTCCCCAGCTGGATCAGTTTCTGGTCTAGTTCATCACACGGCTGCACTAAGAACCTGAACAGCACAGTGGGTGGGAATGAGCAAGCTGGCAGCACTACCATGAAATTGCAGCCTGCGAGCCAGTAGAATTATAGAATCAAGAAATGGTTTGGATTGGAAGGGCCCTTTAAAGGTCATCTAATCCATCCTCCCTGCAGTGAGCAGGGACAACCTTATTTAACTAAATAAGGTTGCTTCAAGCCCTGTCCAACCTGGCCTTGAACATTGCCAGGGATGGGGCAGCCATAGCTTCTCCAGGCAACCTGTGCCGGGGCCTCACCACCCTCACAGTAAAAACTGTCAGATCCAGGGGAATTTGTAAGCTTGTCTGTCCAGGGGGGTTTCCACAAGGTTCAGTCGGAGACCAGCTGGCAGAAATTTCCCCAAGGAGAACCCCAGGCTTAATTCTTTTTTCTCTCCATTCTGGTGCTGATTTCTCCAGCAGACATCCAGAAGCACCTTAAAAATAAAACGTCAAAGTAAAACAAGCCACTGAACACACAGACCTGCCCTGGGCAAGAGGATGAGAGTGAGCGAGCAAACCACATGTGACAGATGTTAGGCATGTTGCTGAATGCAATTCTGGAAGCTGCTCAGATGCTGTGGTCAGGTGGGTGGTATTACAAACCTATCTGGGCTAGAAAAAAGAAACATTTTTCTAGTAAATGAAACATATCTGGTAGAGAAAGCACTGAGGGGTAATAAACATGCAGCAGAGAACTGCCTTTTGGGGAAATGCTTTTTGGGGTGAAGCTGCGTCATCGTGGTGCTTCATAAGTAAGTGCCCCATCACTTCAGGGTTAGGAAGGACAAGATGTGCTTGTGGCAGGAAATGGGCATGTGAAAGAGACCTGCTGGGTTCCTCAGAGTACAATCTGAGTCCTACTATCGCAACAGTCCATTTTTAACTGAACAGCCAGATCCTTCTGAGTGGGCCTTTTTTCCTAGCTCCTGGATGTTCTGCGTCTAGGGGTTTTGCATGAAGCCCTGAGTGAGTGTTGTGGGTATTCACTTGGAGTAAGAGTGCTTTTTGCTTCTTCTTCACTTTGTCTCTTCATCAGCTAAACAGTTCAGTGCACCGAATTCCCCTGAATTCTTAAATAGAATAAAAAAATGGTTTCATGATCCAGTATTTTGTAACTGTGGAGAAATTATGGGGGATAGAACTGGTATGCAAACTAATATTTTGTCTGATGAAATGAAGAACTGTGATGTTCTGAAAATCTCTTGGCTGTTAGCCCTTCCCTGGTACAATCTGAGTGCTGAGATGATGTGGTGCTCTTTGGGAAAGCTCTGTAAACCAAAAATGGATTTTGTTCCCCTTGGCCTACTGACAGCATGAACACAGGACTTCAAACTGAGCCTATGGATCTCTGTGACAATGAGGTTCTTCATTAGGACATTAATTTGTAGAACAAAAATCCTAGGTAACCATATAGGAGTGCAGTTGCTGGTCTAGGTACACTGCAATAAAGGGTAGGAGAGTACAGGAAGAGAGATGATGGGATCTTATGAATTTGAAATCTTTGATCAAATGCAAAACATTCTGGAGGGACAGTGAACAAAAGCAGGACAGGGAAGTTACAAAAAAACCCCATATGAAATGTAAATAGATTTTTTTTTTTGCTTGCATTGTTTTTGAAGCCTTATAAATGTAGAGTTTTCTTATATATGACAAACCCTTTTTCAGTCATTTAAGACAGCACATGAGATGATGGAATTTTTCCAGACTGCCAGAGTGTCTCTCTGTCTGGAAATAGATAATTTATTGTCACATATGACCTTTCGGTAGCACATGATGGTAACCCAGGGTTGCAATCTCAAAAGACCAAAAGAAACTGAGGACGCTTGGATTATGCTGAAGAATCTGAACATTGCTGCTTTTTTACCCCAGCCACAAAGACTTACAGCATTTCTTTGGTCAGATGAAGGGCGAAAGAGCAATTTTCACTTTTTCATTAGTACCCCACCAGAGGCTGGATGCCTGTGATTTTTTTACAGGGATGCTCAGATAGATAACAGCCCATCGTTAATCTACACTGAATTGGTTACAAGTGATAAATGGGTTTTTCCAAAGCAAGCAAAAAGGTTTTCCTTCTTTAAAAATATTTACAAACAACCAACCCTCCTGACCCCCCCCCTTCCTTCAAATTTGGGTTGTTTATCTCTGCAAGCTGGGCCAGAGCCCCTCCAAAGACTTGCTGGAGCTCTGGCCAAGGATGGGGAGGCCGCTGATTCTCCACTTCACTGCAATTTGTTGCCTCTTTGAAGGGCAGCTGTTGCCTTTGAAGTCAACTTTTCTGGGCAAATGAGTATCAGTGGATAGGGTGAGACTTTGTCTGCAGATGGGCAGCAGCAAATTCCCTTCACAAAGGAGACTGCTGGCAGAAGGCTTGCAAGACAGAGGTTCAGCTGCTCCACCAGCCACTTCTCACTGAGAAAACACAAGCGGGGATGAAGCAGAGGCATAACAGAGCTACTTTGTGTTAACCTCCTCCTGGTCTGATGTCCTTGGGAAGGGTTGACCTTGCTGGCCTGGCTGGCACCTACCCCTCAGTGTTTTTGCTACCCCTCTGAGCTCAACTGGAGACCAGGTAAAGGCAGATTTTCAAGTCCAGACTAATCTACCTCCAGTGTAGGATGGGGTGGTGTGTTGCGTAGGTTTTGTCTGTGTTACAGAGAACTTACTGGGCAGGGTTGAGTCATTCCAGAGAATCACTGAGACCTGCAAACGCTCAAGTATCTGTGTATTACCCTTCTGCCACCTTTTGTTCCTAGTCCTTTTATTTTTTTCTTTTCTTCATCCAGTATGTCTTTTTATTCTCTGTAATATGTCCACATTTTCTCTATGTTTTTCATCCAACCTGCAACTGACCTCTGAATTCTTGCTGTCCAGTTGTGCTGATATTCAGGGCTGTTCCCCGTTGCTCCTGAGGATCTGGCCTGCATCCCCTCTGCACCTGAGTGTCTGCCTCTGGGTGGGAGGGAGGTGGCACCAGCACTACAGGTAAATTCACTAGAGACTGGGAGCCAGAGCCTCGCTTGTCATGTTAGGTGCCTAAATCCCAGATGTCTGTCCTCAAAACTCTGGGTCATGTGTCACCCTGACATCTGAAGGTGCTTAAGTTCCTCAGTACCTGCTTTACATGTGATGGTGCTGGGGTGTCAAGGGCTGCCTAGAAGTACTGAGTGTGACTGACTCGCTCCCATGAGACCCTCCCGTAATCATCCCTCTGTGTCACTCCTGGGAGATGCTGGGCCAGATGGGCATGCTGTCTGCACTGAGCTATTCGAGACTCACAGGGTGCTGCCCCTGCTGGCCTCCTCCTCAAAGAGAGCATGCAGGCCTGGTTAGGGGATGTCTTCTTATGGGCCTAAATGCTGAAGCAGGCAGGGTGACAGGTATACCTTTCTCATGAGGATTTCTTTTGCCTGGCTCAGGCAGCTTCATCCTCCCTGTATTTGGGCCTTGCAGTTGCCACTGTAGGCATGTAATTCCCCTTATCAATTGATGTGAGAGTCTAAGTACCTGGTTCAGGCACTGCAAGTACTACTAGGGGGGCAAAGAATAAGAACTCAGACACTCGGGAATGGAGAGTATCACTCTATTATTCAGTTTGGTAGGATCTTAAATTACTGAAGCCATGGCTCTAAAATACACACTTTCAGGCAGGTTTGGACATGGATGTATATGTCTGTATATGGTACACTTCGCTGCACAAGACAGCCCTTTGGAAAGTGACACCTGGGACCTTGCCAGGTGGCTTTACAGAGTTTTGGGTTTGCTTTGTACAGGGTGGTTGCAAAACCAGACTTGTTCATGGATGTCAGGTGGCTTACGCTACTGTGTTTTCATGCAGCGTTTCACAAGCACCGGACTAACTGAGAAACAAAGCAGTTTTCATGACCACTCAATCTGTCTTGACTCAGCACACCATTGCTGAATAAAGCATATACGTATTGTTTTCAGACAGCTGTAATCCCTCTGCAGGCTTTAGGGTAATTTAATCTCTTGACATGACTGTGCAACTCCTGTTATTTTTAGGCACACACATTAAGAGAAAAAAGGGTCCATTTAATCTGAAAACATATTAGCAAGTTTTCCTGTTTTCACAAATCTGAACCAGGTCCCGCAGGGAATAAACTGAAAGTCGTTAACATATGATTGCTATTTGATGGTCAGAACGAAGCAGCCTCATACTTACTCCTCACCAGCAGATACTGCAAAGCCAGTTGCTACTCTTGAAGATTGTACAGACAAAGATTAAAAACTCTTTGCAAATT